TGGAGATAGAGATATGTCCCGTGCTTACTGCATAACTTTGAGATCACTATTTATCACATTCAGGGACTTTTGTCTTTACTCCTGTGGATTCTAAAAGAATGAGGTTGCCAACAGCCTGACATATATAAGCAGGAGGTAAGTATATGTGTGAGATGCAATGTTTATTTCTGCACTCCATATACATATGTATATACAGGCATAAACATATTCTTTAACATTAACTTTTCAAAATATTCTCTAAAATTCCTCCCCTTTCTGCTGTTTCATCTTTTAGTTCTGTCAGGAGCTTGGTCCCTTTACAATTTATAAATCATCCACATTAATCTGTCTTCCACCTCCTTTCCTCGGTTCGTTCCCTCAGCCACAATAAGCTCTGAATGTATGCCTATACACATGGCATCCCGAATTATAACCTCCCAAGTCTCCGGATTGTTTTCAAAGGGCTAAAAATTGCCATACTCATAAAAACAAAACAAAACAAAAATGGCAACTTTGTTTGCCTTGCCAGTCTGTCAGAGCTTGAAAAACAAACTTCATCCCAGAAAGACAAACACACACACGGCAAACAAGAAGAAGGAGCTGTCGACAGAGCCGAGAGAATCTCCAGGCCAGGGAACAATAGCAGAGAACACAGCCAGACGGCAAGGGAAGACAGTGTGTTGCAAACACAGTGGAAAAGAAGAAAAAGAGCCTAACCCCAGCCATGGAGATGAAACGACTTGGGAGGAGAACTTCCCCCTTTGCACAAACTTTCCTTCAAATGCCCAGACATCCCCAGGCCAACCTCAGGTATTTGAAGCTATGCCTGACTCCAGCTCACTCACCCCTTCCTCATGTACCGTTGCCGGTGGAAAGGCATTGGTGACCCTGGGTTAAATGGAAGCCTACTTACCTAGGCTAACTCCCTCTGGTATGTGGTGTCAGGTATATAAATGTACATATCCAAAAAGATTGAATCTCCGATTTTGCAAATCATTGTTGAGTAATCAAAGAAAATCAACTTCATATTTCCTGGAAGGTTTTATTTTACAACCTCTGATGAGATACAAAATAAAAAGGCGACTTTGGCGGGTATCTATAATAACAGTTTATATTAATATTCAACAGGAACCCTTTCTTCCAAGGAATCTAAAGTACTTGTGATGAGATTGGATTCTTCCCCAGCTCTAGCTGCAGCAGGAATAAATGGCAGTGCTTGGCAGCCATAGCACAAACCTCAGCTATGTCTCTGGAGGATGTGAACACTAAATTGCACAAATTACAAATTGATCTTTGTTCATGTACACTCTGGTGTAAGTTTAGTAGCTGCTGGCCCCAGAACCATCAGAGTAGATCTCACTAGTTGATGAATTAACAGTCAGTCATCATTCAAGTAAGTTCTCATGTGGCCACTGAGCTGAGCAGTGCTATGAGACACCCCTTATTGAAGATTTTCTACGTAACGCATGTGTAGTTGCCTCTTATCTTATGGTCATGCAATTCTCCATGCAGTTCTCTGAAATTAATAGGACTGTGTCCATTGTTCATATGGGGAAATAAAGACCCAGGGAGGTCAAGTCCCTTGTCCTGTGACATAGCCAGAAGGAGGTAGAGTCAGCATTTGTGTCCAGTTCTTTCTAGTGCCAAGTCCATGCTTCATTTCCCCACTGCTCTGAATTATGGTTTGCTTTAAGTGTGCCCTTCTTTTAACTTCACTGTGCCAAGGGAATGGGACCCAGCATTGTGAAAACGCCCAGCTTCCTAAAGGTGTATACTTCAGAGCATTCTAGTCCCCAGCCTGCTCCCAACTCTGCACTCCATGAATTTCATGGATCCCTTGAGTGCTACTTTTCCATCCTGGGTGAAACCTATGGTATGACCTGCAACTTTGGATTCTGTGCACTGGCTTTGAAGACAACCTGGAGAATACAGTGTCTACAGGGATTGTCCAGGTGCAAAACAAACAAATAACCGAAAACCATGACCATGAGTCTCTTCTTTACTTAATTCCATAATTAAGCAAATATTTACTGAGTGCTGATTGCAGGCTAGGCCAGGGAGGATACCAGGTTAACCAAGTCCCTTAGTTACCTCAGGTATATAAAAAGGGATGCCAGAAACCCTGTTATCATCAATAATATTGAATGCAATACAATTAATCAAAATTAAGGCAAAAACCATCAAAAACTCAGGCTCCAATTTGACTCAGCTCAGCTCTGTGCTAGCAATAGGAATGCAGAGTCCAACCTGGCCCTAAAGTAAAGGATTTTTAGTCATCTGATAGTGGCATAAGACACAAATAACATCACGTTTCTCTCCTTTAAAGTGGGAAATACAGTCTCTACTTCAAAAGAAAAGTACTAGAAAGTTTTTGGACTGGATTGAATTTAATAGATTGAACTAAATTTAATTTTCCTGCTGTTGAGCTAGAAGGAAGCTTGGAATGAGTGCAGTTTAAAAAATATAGAGGGAGTCTCATGTTTTCGCAAAAGCCGGTGGTGACTATTAATCATAGCAGCTACACATATCATGGCAGATTAGAGCCACTGTAAACTTACTGCCTCTTTTTTCAACTGAGCCCTTACCATGCTTGAAGAATCCTCCCGCACATCCAAAGTCAGCTGCCTCCTGCAGCTTGAGTGACAAGGGTCACCGGTTCACACAAATAAAAAGTACGTACCATCACTTACTTAGACCCAGGCCGTCTCCTAGTCACAGCAACGCCACCAGCACAGAAAACAGGGGCAGGGCTGTGGTCACCAGTCGGGGGCAGCACCAGTGGAAGAAGAGCCATGAGGTCAGATGTGGAAATAAGAAGAAAAACCAGGCCCTCTTTCCTTTTTGCTCAGGTCAGCCTTGATGGGAAGGTAAGTAAATCTGCTCAGGCCTATTCTGGAAGGACAGTGATTTTTCACTCAGCAAAGATCAGACATACCAAAATAAATCATTGCATTCTCAAATGCCATTACTCATTACTCTCCCACAAAAAAAAAAAAAAAAAAAAAAAAAAAAAAAAAAAAAAAGTATGAAAGAAGGATGTCCTCCCTACTCTATCTCATAGGTTAGAAAAACACTATTTGAGGCTAACCCCAATATCCCAGCTTTTGTGAGAAAACCCTAATTATTGCCTCTGCCCTGCCCCTGAGCCCAAGGCTCTCAGTCCACAGGCGGATGGGAGACAGAAAGGAGGCACATCTCTCTCAACTACCTGTTCACTGTTGCAGGCTCAGAAACATCAAGATTCCTTCCCAGGAAATGCTCATTTGTGATTGCTTCCATACAGAAAAAGGAAGACTGCCTTTTTTTTTATAAAAATACCTTTATTTTGTTTAACATATATTAATAACTGCAATCCTCAAAATGTTAAATGCAGAGATAGCATATGACACAGCAAATTAACTCCTAGATATACGTCCAGAAAACATGAAAACATATGTTCAGGCAAATTTTTATGTGAGTGTCTGTTAATAAATGAAACAATAAAATGTGGCATAGCCATACAATAGAACACTATTTAGTAATAAAAAGTGAAGTATTTATACATGACACAATATGGATGAACCTTGACAACATTTTGTTAAGCAAAAGAAGCCAGACAGAAAGTACTACTTATTATGTGATTATATTTAGATATCACCTCCAGAATAAGCCCCTAGGGTTTGGAGGTGATGGCACGTGACCGCGAATGGGTACCGGATTTATTTTGGGTGATGAAATGTTCTGGAATTATGTTGTAGTGATGGTTGTACAACTTTAGAAATAAATTATAAAACAGAATTGTAGACTTAAAATGAGTGAATCGTATGGTATGCCAGTGATATCTCAGAAGAGACTGAAAACAAACAAACAAACAAAACCTGCAAAATTGGACTAGGCAGAATCTGGCCATCAAACTCCAGAAACCTGGCCAAAATTGGAGGCAAAAACGGGGAGAGGAGAGGTTCAAGGCCTGGACGATTTGATACAAATGATTCCTATCCTATTCGAGGAGAGAAAAAGGCAGGTAACGCCCTCAAGATAGGAAGAAATGGCTGAGGGCTAAGGCTGTGCGAAGGCCCTGGAATGTCCCCTGCTTCTCCACTGAGCAGGTAGGCTGGGCCCAGTGCGGTGGGGGCAGAGACCAGTATGCACCCCGGATGCTTTCAGATGCCCACAGGCCACGGGGAGGAGGCGACCATTGAGCCTGGTGGTCTCAGTTACCTGAAGCACCAGGGAGGCGATGGCTCCAGGAGGCACAGGGCATCTGCAGCTGAGAGTGTACAAAGTGGCCTCCGGCTGGGTTTTTGCTCCACAGTTTACTAGAGAACAGGAGCCGGAGAATCTAGGAAGGTGCTGGACTCCAGCCTGGACCCATCGTTGCCGTCTGTGACTGTGTCGGTGGCCCCGTTATGTTCCCTGCTGGTGTCAGGGGAGAACACCTGCTTCTCATGGGCTCCGGCCAGACTGCCCTGAGTACAAGTCACAAGGTTAGGTGTTCAGTTAATCATCAGCTACCCTGGAAGCTTGGAGTAGGGAAAGCAAAGTCCCTGCACAGAGTTGGCCCTGTCAGCTTGGCCTCTTTGAGAGTCACAAACAGAACTCCTTTATTCCCTGCTCCCAGGGTCACCTGCTGAACACACACAGGGAGGCCACCTGCCAGGGAGCTCAGTCCACCTGGTGGCGGCCAAGGTCAGTGAGGGAAAGTCAGGACAGACTGCAGGGATCCTGCTCTAGCCGCCCGAACCAGAGACTGAGACGTGAGGCTGTGGCCCAACATTCTCCAGACCACACAGAGGGCACATTGTCCCTCAGTGGTGGAATTCCCCTCACATGCTACAGAGGCCTCCTGCAGTCCACAGACCCGGGCAGGTGGAGTTGGGGCCAACAGTCTCAAGGCAGCGAATCCCCTACCCCCAGCATGGAGAGAGAGCCACCTCCAGGCACACAGCCAGACGCACAGTATAAAGAGGCCACCAGGGGCACACTTGAGTCAGTAAGTTAAGGGGGAGCATTATTCTCTCCCATTTCCATTTCACTCGGCACTGGCGGTTTTCTAAGGTGCTTTCATCCTGTGTCCTTGAACTGCTTCCATCACTCTTAGGTAAGCCCTGTATTCAGGCCATCTGGAATCTGCCTGCTCTCCTTGGCCCCTGCCTCTGTGTAGGGGGCTTCCTGTATGAGCGCAGGAGCCCACAGACCTTCTTGCTACGTGTGGGGCCTGGCCATTCTTAGGAACTACATTCAACTCCTGGAGTCTCAATTAGGATACATGTAGAAAAGTTAGAGCTGATTTGATAAAAGCAATAGAAACCACTAGAGCTTAGTTTCATTTTGAGGATGTAGTAGAGAATAATTTCCTACCAATTAAATTAGCTTCATCTATAATATTAAAATATCATGGGGTGCCTTGATCTCTTTCCACAGACACAGCATGGGTGAGGTATCGTTTAATTCTTCCAGAACTCAGTATTTTAATTCCTGGAACTGAGGGAAGGGCAGACAGAAAGACATCTGATTTAATTCAAAATGTATACCTCTCTGCTTTGCTCACAGGCTGTGTCTAAGTTCTCAGAACTCATGATTTCTGCAGCAACCAGTGGGTCAGGAGCACCAGGCTGGCCCCAAAGGCTACCGAGAGCTCCCCCAGCAACCTGCACCACAGGGTCCTGAGAACCGGTCCATAGCGACGCTGAAATGATATTTGCAACCCCATCTGAAGAACCTGCTCAGAGCCAGCTTTGCTCTGCTGATTTGGAGCAGTGCTGCAGGCCTGGGCTCCGTTCCACGGTACATGTGCGGGGATCCCTGCGGGGCCCACCTGACCCACACAGAGCCAGCCCTCTTCTGGCCTTCCTATGTCTTCAGACTCAGGCCAGGAAGCACGAGGCACCCCTGCCCCTGGGGCCATAGGAGTCTAGGGTTTGCTGCTTCAGTCTCCCTCCAGAAAACAGAAAAACAAACAAACAAACAAACAAAAAACAAGCTTTTGTTTTCTGTTTCAGCATGAAAAAGTCTGTTGGAAAGTCACTCTGTTGACTTCCCTATAATTCTCTTCCCTCATGATCCCACTTGTAGGGGTCACCCCTGAAGGAGAGTGGGATGAGGGATCCCTCACACTTGGCATATTCTTGCCTCAAGTTTTCTATTGTGAATCATTTCCATTCTACTAAAGGCCTTATGTTTGAAATCAAAAAACTAGGATAAAACACTTGCCCCCTGCTGTCCTTCAGTGTAAGTCCCATCCTTGAAACAACCAACAGAAATTAGTCTTTGCTGCCTAAATGTTGCCTGCAGAGAAAAGTGGGAAATACATAACAGAAGAAAAATAAACAAGGAAAAACATCAATTAATATTTCAAAATCATATCCTGGTTAGTATTTTATAATGCAGGGCCATTCACAAATCACTGATATGCTTATTCTCATTTAATTTTTCAATGACTCTTGTGGAGTAAATGCTATAATCTCATTTACAAATGAAGATTCAGAGTGCTTAACAATTACTCATCCCCTCTGCTGAGATTGGATGCCAGATACACTTCTAAAGGATCTGTGAGTTGTGAATTTGTAGCTCAAGTGGAATGTAAGAAACTTGAGGACAGGAACTGGGACCCACATTTTTAACTTCCACATTATCTAGATGTTATGGAATGAATCATGTACCATAACATCTTGAGCGTGGCGGTCTCCATTACCTGAAGCACCAGGGAGGAGGAGGTGATTCCAGGAGTTGTAGCCGGAGCCTTAGGTTCCCAATGTACTAGGAGTTGGAACTTGAAAAATAATGTGTTGAAGTTCTAACTCCTACTACCTTAGAAATGTGACTGTATTTAAGAAAACACCTTTAAAGAGGTAATCGGGGTAAAAATGAGGTAATATGGGTGGGACCCTACTATAATATGACGGGTGTTCTTATTAAAAGGGGATATGAGAGCACAGACACACAAGGAGGGATGACCATGTGAGGACATGCCAAGAACACAGCCATTCTGCAAGCCAAGGAGTCAGGCTTCCAGAGAAGCCAAACCAGCCACTGCCCTGGTCTTGGACCTCCAGCCCTCAGAGCTGTCAGAAAATCAATTTCTGTTGTTTATAATCCCCCATCTGTGGTATTTTGTTATGGTAGCTTACTAAACTAATACACTGGCTCAGTGTCATGGTTAATAGATCTCTGTTATATTAAACTATGGAATTTTAGAGAAGGACACAGTGCTTTAATTCTTTTGAAATGTGCTGTTCAAATTTCTTCACTCTGTAAGTGTTCACCACTTCCGAGTCTTCTGCTGGGCTCTGGGATGACAGAGATGGAATTAGTCCCTGGCAACTCTTAAGGAGGACAGCAGTCTAGAACAGAAGCTGTGACTAGGGCCTTACACACCAGTGTGGTTAGGGTGAGGGTGAGGGTTAGGTTTAGGGCAGAACAATGAGGCCATAATGTGGTCAGCCAGAGGAAGAACGGCCGGTTGGTCTGGATGTTGAAAAGATTCACAGAACATGACTGTGTGTTGTTTTTTAACAAATGAGGAGGAATTGCCAGTGACAGAAGATGTTAAAAGAATTTCAGGTGGAAACCCTGAAAAGAGTTCTACTGGCTACCACAAAATAAATAAATAGGTAGATTCCTTAGCAAGGCTTAAAAGACTCTAAATAGTTGGGCCTCTACTTTCTAAGCACTCTTATTTCTTGCTACTGATCTTCACACTCAGCATCCCACCACACAGCCCCCTTAGACTGCCTGCAATTGGTCAGACACCCCAGTATGTCTCACACCTTGGCCTTTTCTTGAGATACTTCTGCAGATAACTCATTCCCCTCATGAGTAGCTCTGTATTTCTCTGACTCTTCCTTAAGGTCACCTCTTCTATGGCATCTTCCCAGGTATCCCTAAATGGAATGAACCACTGCCTCTTTGGTCCACATTATAGTTTGTGCAGATACTTATTGTTAGCCTGTATGTAACATTGTTTTCTCTGATTTTTTGGAATATCTGACTCAATTTATTAGATTATAAGTATTTTCATAATAGCAACCATAATTTACTTAGGTTGATATCACCAGCATTCTTAGTAGATGCTCAACACATATGTGTTCACTAAATGAATATGCAAAGACACCAGAGTTGCCTGTGCATAAAAAGGCAGGCACTTGTTCAGTGGTGAGCATGTAGAGTGCTCAGAGTCAAGGCTTGAAAAACAGATTGGCCTTTCATGTAGAGTTGCTAAATTTAGCAACTAAAAATAAAGATGCCAAGGTGGGTGGATCACCTGAGGTCAGGAGTTCAAGACTAGCCTGGTCAACATGGTGAACTCCTGCCTCTACTAAAAATACAAAAATTAGCTAGGCATGGTGGCAGTCAGCTGTAATCCCAGCTACTTGGGAGGCTGAGGCAGGAGAATCACTTGAATCTGGGAGGCAGAGGTTACAGTGAGCTGAGATCATACCATTGAAAGAGCAAGACTCCATCTCAAAAAAAAAAGAAAATATGCCTAGTTAAATCTGAGTTTCAGATAAGCTACAATATTAAATATATATATACATACATATATACACACACACACACACATACACATACATATACATACATTAGCATAAGATGTCTCATGCAATATTTGAGGCATATTTATATTCTTATATGTTTATTTTTTTGGTCTGAAGTTGACATTTAACTGAGACACTGGGGAGGCTAAGTGGGTACAACAGAGATGAACACCTTATCATTTGGTTCCAGTAGATCCATAGTTTGGGTCATTCCTTCCTCTTCCCCAAGTGGTAGATTAGGAAAGACGTGGCTGCCTTCCTCTCTATGTTCTTAATTTGGTTGTCCACACTAGAGTCAAGTAAAGTAGAATTAACCTCGGAGAGTAAGTAAGATTTTGCACAATGGAATCATAAATGCTGTACATGGAGAAAAGAGAGAAAAGAGTGGAGAAGACTTAAATTTAAAAAAAAAAAGAAGAAAAAAAAAAAACAGCCAATATGGTCTTGGCCTTCATGAGAGATTCACACAGCTTTTGGGATATATTTCCAAAGCTTAAACTTGAAGGGAAATCACATGGATATTATGCCACCCTTCCCAGAATTTTAAGCAGAGGCCAAATGAATGTTTCCCCAGAATCCCCTATCAATTGCAACTACTGACATTCACGTCGGTCTCGTGGCACCTGCTTCCACCAAATGCTAGTGTTTAACATTTCTCACAGTGTTTCTAAACTCGAATTTGCTCACTGCTACCAGCTAGGAACAGATGCACCAGAGAGAACCTATTTGAAAGTGGGTGGCTTATTATGAACAACTTAGGGTCTATAAAAAAATCTCAACAAGAGCTGGAAGAAAAAAAATAAAAACTGCCAGAAGCTCTAAAAAATCTCTTCAAAAGAAAACAGAATAGTTATCTGGAAATTCTGCAAATATGTAAAGGAATCTTGTTTTAGCAATGTTTTGCACTTTGATATAAATTCCTAAAAGTTACCTCTAACTTGAACACAGAATTGAGTTACTGCTCTGCCAAAAGAATTTCTTCTTCAGGCCAGAGAAGTGACCTTGTCCAAAACTGTGAACAGAGTTGCCATATTGGGTGAAAATATACACCCTTTGCTTGCTTCCAATTTTCTAATGGCATGGCAGTAGTACAACTACTGCTACTGATTTTGTAAAATTGTTTCCCACAGTGATTACATATGATGAAGCTTCCAGTCTGTGTTGTCCAATGAGGCAGCCACTAGACACACTGGCTACTGAGCCCTGAAATATGGCTAATCTGAATTGAGAAGTGCTGTACATGTGAAATCCAAACCAGGTTTTGAAGACTTAGTTGGAAAGAAGCATGTAAAATATCATAAATAATTTTTATATTGGCAACACTTTTAAATTTCAGATGTTTGTTTAAATAAAATACATAATTACAATTAATTTTATATTTTTAAATGACTACAAGAAAATTTAAAATCATACTTTTGGCTCACCTGTGTGGTTCCCATTAAACTCCATGGCATATTTTAATCAAAGACTAGTAATCCTGTAACTTACGGGAAAAATGGTGTGACATTCTAAATCTTCCACCTTTGATATGACTCCAGGTGTCGAAATACCTCAATGTCACAGT